TATGAATTCTGTGTCCGAATTTAATGAATTTGAGCCAATCCGCCGATCCGCCAAAACCGGTTTCAATTGAGCGCCGGCTTAAATCTTGAAACATTCTAATCTAAAACGACCAAGCTTATATTGCTTGATTCACTTCTAGAAGAGAGAAAATGCGCCAGCTATGAGGAATTAAAATCCGCCAAAAATTACTTTTTAATGGATTTTAACGAAGTTCCTGACTTTGACCCTATAGAAGCTTACTCTATGTCTATAGATGAATCTACTTCGCGTTCACTTAACCTAACTCCTACCAACTTACAGGAATCATTCTATACAAAACACTTAAAATATTCATTAAAGAGACTGTAAGCGTAACTTCAAGTGACTCTCCATGCGAAATTGACAATTCCCGTATTACAACGATCTGATTAAGCATAAATGTGATATCCATGTTTAATTTTTTTATTTTCATTAGTGGTTTCGCAATCTCAAATTTCAATCTAAAACGACCAAGCTTATATTGCTTGATTCACTTCTAGAAGAGGTTTTGCAAATGCCGAGTTGTCATTAAGAAAGATATTAATGACTTCAAGGAGGCCAAAAAAAATGCGAGACCATTATTAGAAGTGCCACAGGATTCGAGTAGTTCGAGCCTGAGTCCTGTACTGAATAGTACAGACCTCTTGTGGTGAGGATTTGACCTCCTGTATCCTCGAGGCTGTAGCACAGCCTCTACAGTTTGTCTAGTAAGCTGGACAAATAAGTTTGAGTTATTAAGCATCGTGAGCCCGACTAAAAAGTTAAAGAAGGTTGTACTTTTCTGAGTGAAATATTGACACTCCCAAGGGAACATTGGTTCCCATATAAAAGTGACATATAGACACTTATTACTACAGTTGTAACTACAGTGCAAAAGTGATATATAGACACTATAAGAGCACTAAAAATAATCTTTACATCTATTTCTGCTGATTATTATTTAGAATGTCGGAGGAGGCTTTACAGTAAAGTGTCTGGAGATCTCGGAACCTCTCCTGTAATCGGAACCTTGGTCCTCAGTATCGGAGGCCAGGGTTTTACTGCACTAGGATAAGGGTGTACCATAAAATATACATGCAAAAAATATTTTAACTGCTGACCAAATCAATTTTATATCAAACAAGTACACCCTTTCAATTTAGAAGGAAGGAGATATTTTATCTATAAACAAATTATCCAATTAGTAATTGGGGTACTATTATCTCCGGATAATCCTATTCCATTTTCGGCAGTTAGTGTATTATTATTTCCGGATAATTTTATACTCTCTGTCTATACTGAGCAAGTGACGGACAAATCCGTTCACTAAAAGAAGGCTTTAAAGAGAAAAAAAAAAAAAAATAAAAAAAAAAGAAAAAAAAAATATACTTATATTTCTAAATCAAAAAATAAAAACTGGAAAAGAAAAGAAAGAAAAAAAGAAGAAAAATAAGCCCACTCAGTATTTTGTATTAGTATTAAATCTGGGTGTAATACGGTGAAAGTCAGTGGATAGTATCCACAAAATTGTAGCTGTATTATAATAGAATCTTGCCGCCGAGATTTTATTTTAGCCCCATAGATTTATATTTTATTGTAACCTTGTAGTCTGGTGTAGTACAGGGAAGACAGTGGATAATATCCACAAAATTGTACCTGTATTACAATAAAATCTTGCCGCCGAGGTTTTATTTTTGCCCTGAAGATTACAAACTAAAATGGCTCCAACTAAGAAGCAGTATCCTTGCATGATATGCAAAGTACATGTTAAAGCTAATGATAAAGCAGTGCAGTGCTCCCTGTGTGAACTCTGGATTCATGTTGGGTGCTCTGATACCCTGGATGATGAGACATACAAACTCATTATCATAATGGCCGAAAAGCATGCATCACATTGTTGGAGCTGTCAATGCTGCAGGTCAGCTGTTCTGAACCTGAATAAAAAGGTCATTGCTATAGAAAAAAGGATGAACCAATTGGAAACAGATGTTGGCAACAATACTGAGGAAATAGGAGCTGTCAAGGAAACCTGTAAGGAACTATCCAAAGAACTAGAGGTTGTGAAGCAAACAAAGAACCGTGAAACAACTCCTGGGACTGATAATGAAGCTGTTTTCAAGGAATTTGAGGAACGTGAAAGCAAGAAGGAGAATCTCATAATCCACAACCTTCCAGAACCAGAACCTACTATTACAAGAGCTGGAGACAGGAAAGATAGAGACAATGAGGAACTTGTAAAGGTTCTGCAATCTATAAATTGTAGCACTAGAATTGCGGAGGATGTTAAATACACTGTACGGCTAGGTGAGAGGAAGGACAATGTAAACTACCAGGATAAACCCAGACCTATGATTGTGGGGTTCCGCAATGTGCAGCTCCGCAATGAAATTCTTAGATCAGCTCGTAATTTAGTTAAAACCAGGTACAAAGATGTAAGTATTGGTCCAGATTTAACCAATAAGCAGCGCCAGAATGAAGCCAAGATGAGAACAGATGCTGAGAAATTAAATAGAGAGATGGACAGCGCTGATTCTTTAAACTGGGAGTGGAAGGTGATAGGGCCGAAAGGTCAACGAAAACTGATAAAAACAAGAAAGACAACCATGGACAGACGGAAGAGACCCAGGAGCAACGAGGGATCCCCTCAAGCCGGGCCATCCAGCAAACGTTAAACATCATCTATTTAAATGCCAGAAGTCTGATCAGCAAAACTAATGATTTGGAACTTTTAGTTAATGAAAAAAACCCGGACATAATTCTAATTACAGAAACCTGGTTAAATGATAACATTTCAAACTCTATCCTACAGCTGGAAGGATATTTTATTGAACCGACCTTACGATGTGATCGTAACGATACCGCCAATGGTATAGGTGGTGGATTGCTTGTGTATGTGAAAAATGGACTCACAATTTTAAAAACTGATAGTTTAAATTTATTTAACCAATTCTGCCAGTTCAGAGTGATATCTGAGAACAACCAAGACTTAAATGTTACACTTGTGTACAGATCACCCAACTCACCAAATGCAAACA